AATGCTATCTGGGTATGATTTCCATCACTAGTCAGAAAGTATTTAAGAGAGTCTGATGCACTTCTACAGAGAGTAGGAGGAAATTATGTTTACCACCCTCTTTTAAGCTGATCTGCAAAATGCTGTCCTTTCAAACGTCTCCCAGGAACACATTCTGAGTGAGGACGGTATTTTTTTCAAGCCTTGTTTTTCTCTTTTTTTCCTGCAAAACGCTGCTCTTGTTTTCTTGACTATTTCTATCTTCCTTCTCAGGGCACGGTTATTAATCACTAAAACAACCAAAAGACATGTTCAGTGCAAGTATCTAGAGGCCTTTCAGTCTTGATGTTGATTTAAAGAATATATTATTTAAGACTGTCATTTGAGAATAATGCAATTAGACTATTTATAGTGACTTTTGGAAGAAATACAATTAATAAAGGTGTGAAGAGATGCATCGTCCAAAATACAATATCCTGCATTACCTGATGTGAGTATCAATCTGTTAAATAGTCTCATGTTCTTCTTGTATCGAGTTCAAGTCAGCTGGTTGAAGAGGAATTTAGGTAGAGGAAAGAGGAAGTTCCTCCCTGGCCTTTGAGTAACTCCAAAAAAAGTATTCTGCTGCTACACAGCTTTGCAAAAACAGGACCATTGGCTAGCCTTCCTCCTTTGCTTTGGAAAGGGCACTCCGCTTCCCCTGTGCTTCCCTGCTTAGGTGCAGGCGGAGCAGATCCCATGAGCCCTTCCACCAGCCTGCTTTTTCCTCTGTACGTGGAGTGGGACATGGACAGCCAAGAGGATCCTTCACTGGCCGTGGGTTCCGCTTCTGACGCTGATGAACCCTGCAGGTGGAATCCTCCCACCTTACTGGAGTGAGCTGAACCTTTGGACCCGGCCTTTGGGCTAGTAGATCAGTGTCCAGAAGAGAGAGCCCAGCTCTGCTTTCTGTGAAGCCTGTCAGCCTTGGCGTGTCTGTCGTACTTCTCAGAGACACCCTTTTTACAGTGCTGCAGACAGAGAAAGATTTTGGTCTGTGTTATCTCTGGTCCAAGGCACCCAAGTGCCGCACAAATGCTTTTTCCCTGTTTGATCTTGGGGCTTCCCAGCCAGAAGGTGGCCAGTACTTTGCAGCAAATTTTCCAGGTCCTTGAATAGCGAGTGATGTTCCAAGACTCATTAAAACCTACCCTTCAAGAAAAATGTGTAGTTAATATCGACCTGTCTGCTCTACTTACTTGTTTATTGCATATTGTCTCAATGCATTTCTTCTCTGTTTCAGGGTGTGAGTTCAAAAGAGCAGTGACTGCCTCTTGTCACATGTATATAAAATGCCTCATACCATGCAAGATGATAAAAACAGGACTTATATATATCGCCTTTTCCAAAATGTTCCGAGGATATATTTTTATCGTTTAACATGCTCCAGTGCATCCACTTCCTCACTGGACAAAACTGACTCTGTTCTGGGATTAGGAGCAACGCAGCTACACCATGTTAGCCCCGAGGCCTGCTGAGGATCTGGGTCCATGAGCTCAGGCAACGTGGCTACGTTGCTTTGAGCTCCGAACTAAAGTGAGCATCCTGAAGAGCTCAACGTTGGATGAACAGGAGAGCTTGGGGAATCCCTACACCGTAATTCACACTGGGCTGTACCTGAGATGGCTTTGGGTTTTGGTTTGGATAAAAAAACAGTGAGACTTGTGGTCTGAAATTAGTCAGGGATCCCTGAAAAGTTTTGCCATTGTATCTCTCACTGTTTTGTATGGAGCCATGATGGCTTTGAACATGTGCCCATTGCACTTGTACTTTTAGGAAGTTGGTGACAGGGGAATCTCATGGCCTGAGTGAACTCTCGAAGGCATGGAGGCAGCCCAGCCCTTTACCATCATACTGAAAGAGGAAGGGGGACAGCAGTGGAGCATCCCATTGCTAAATAGACTTAAAATATACCAAACACTCAGTGTAAGCAACTATCACCAGGTGCTACGTGACTGTATGAGATGCTGTGGTTTGGAGAGGAAGTGGCTGATGTTAGAGGGTCCATGGGAATTTTTCAATAAAGCCGTTGCCTGTACTTTCATCACTGCTTGTTTCTATAATATTAGATTTGACACAGCTGTTGCTTGCAGGGCTTTGCTTTGAAGAGTTAGAAAATCCTAAAGCTGTCATTTAGTGAGTGATACTCTTCTATAAACTATCTGGACTTCTATAAATATTGCTGAGTCCATGCAGGGCATTATTATCTAATCTCCCAGGGAACATCTCTAATCACAGTCTACCCGCCCATGTCAATCTAGGACACATCCAACTCTTAGAAATAGCAGTGGAGAAATCATAAGATGTTCTCACACATGGAGCTGGCAGACAAGTGCGAGACAAGATCACAAACTGTGCAAAATGAACAGTTTGCAAGTGAACGTGCTTCTCTCTTTCCCCCATTAAAGTGCTGGCTGAGTATCGTACGATGACTTCAGATTAACACGCTAGCCTTCTTTTCTTTTTTTCCTTCTGAATAAATTTCCCTTTCATCAGAGCTGCCTATTTGACAGTAACACAATTACCTGCAGTGGTTCATCTTCTGTTCCACGATCAAAGAGGTCTCTTTTTTTCATTATGAGTTCATAAACAGTTCTCCAGTTGAAACAGGTCTGAGTGAGACGTTAGAATGGGTGTTGTTTTAAGTCTGCTGTGGAACTTGCAAGGCCTAATTATAACTTCTTCATACAAGCAAATAGTGAAGGAGAGTAGAGGTCAGGAAAAAGAACTGGATGGTTCTATTCACTTTTATCTTAACCAAACTCACCATTCAGGAAATGGATCATGAATGTCAAGGAAATGGCTGTTTTCCATTTTCGGGTGGCCTTAATATATATGTCTTCCTTGAAAAGGCTATCCATTGCACAAGGGTTTAACTGCAAAGTGTACATTTGTGATAAGCCCACGTATCATTTTATGCTGGAGAGGGTTTTTTTGGTGAGGATTTTGGGGGGCGGTTCTCTAAGTTTGTTCACTTAAAAAGAAAGCTGGTAGACCACACAGGTGAGACATACAGCAGGCTCTTCCTATACACCACCTATATGACTTATGAACACCAGCTTGCAATGTCTGGCTGAATACAGAAGTACTTTATACTCAGAAAAGGCAAGCACATGGCACTGGAAACATTCCAGGTAAACAGGCTCATGCAAACAAGATGATAAATACAGGGCTGATACTGGTTATCTTTGCTGTAGCTTATCATTTAGGCAGCAACCTTGAAGTGCAATGGAGTCTGAGATACGAAACTTTTTATTGTAGGAGTGGTTAGAACTTTGCAGGCGTTTCCAGGTTTTTACCCTAGCCATTAGGCAGAAGTTCGCATTCTGTATCACATACCAGCCTGGATACTATTTAAGCTGTACAGGTACCAATAAGATTACCACTTCTCAGAAAGTCTTTCTACCTACTAGTTAGGGTGTCATAGTTACCAAGATACAGGTTTAAAATTTGAAAATCTGGGGCTCTCACTTTTTAATTTTAGGAATGCCAAAACACGTAATCATTGTGCAAAGAGTAGGATTGCCACCTTTGAGTAAGTTCTGCCATATATACACGATTCCAGGAAAAAGTTTAGGGTCTGTGACTACTAACAAGCCCTTTGCTTCAGCTTCAGCAAAAGGATGCTACCTGCTGAAATAAGTGGGTCATAAGCCCGTAAGTCTCCATCCTTGAAGATACTCAAATGCCATCTGAGCATGGTCCTGGGCAATCGGCTCTAAGCAGCCCTGCTCGAGCAGAAGGTTTGGACTAGATGACCTCCAGAGATCCCTGCCAACCTCAGCCATCCTGCGATTCTGTAAGGCATTTCCTCTTGGCTTGCTTCAGCAGCTTTAAGCCACAATGTATTGGATCTATAATTCTAATTTTAGAGATGCATTGCATTGTTTAGGGAACACATGTAGCACTCAGACCTGCGGGTGACATTTAAGAGTCAGAAAAGTATTCAAGCCACTCAACATGAAGAACCTGAATTAGTCAGCATAGTTGTTGCAGGAAGAGACAAGTACCTTCGTAGCTCCTTTCAGAACAGCTGAACTTAGAACAAATGAACTGTGGCAAAGAACATTTTGTTTTTCTGTTCTGATTTTGGAGTTTGTTTTTTGGCTGGGGCAGGGTGGTGGTGTGTGTTTTAAATGGGGAAGCGTTTCAAAGGGGGACCTTTGACAGTTTTTAGTGTTTGTATGCACTCTGAGAAGGCTTCATTCCCATCTCACACATTTCAAGATCCCAGTGATGCCCAATGGGGTAGGAAGTTCATAATAAATTCCCTTAAAAACTACAACCAGAATCCAACAAGATTTGAAGATGCTTTTTCTCACAACATCCAGGAGCCTGAGAAGGAGGGTAGATCCTTACGGTATTGTTTGGATCCTGTGTATTTAGAACAGATTTACATTTAGGTGTCTATTGCACATGTGTTCATGAAAACACAAGAAATCAGCTGGTAAGGATCCAGCTATGGAAGTTACTGGAAGTGATTGTCTAGCTCAGCAGTATTTCTGTTGAAAAAAATCTTCTGTTGAAATCATTCATATATGATATGATACTGTGAGGCTAAAAACAATGCTGGGAACAGAGTCTTGAAAGATTTGGTCTAGCTGGAGAAACAGACTGAATATGTGTTCTGCATGAAGATGAGGCACCTTGCTTTTAGGCAACATTTAAGCAATTGGTTTGGAGAAGCCCGTTCTTCAGAATGATTTTGTTCAAAATTCTTGTGAGGGGATCTTTCATTATGCAGTCAACTCTGATGATAATTTGTAGTGCTTGCTCAAAACTAACACTTCCTTCCTGTCTACCACAGAGCTACTTAGAGAAAATTTCCTAACATATTCATAGAGGTTTGCATTCATCTTCAGTGTCATTGAAACCAATTCCCAATATACTATATGTGTAGTAATGGTGTTTAATATGCAATGATGCAAACAGATTAGTGACTCCTTTCCCGAATTAAAATAACAGCATGGAAGCAAAAATATAAGTATAGCTTTATTAGAGAAGTTATCTAAAATACAATATTATTTTCCTCTTTAAATTAGAGCATATATTATTTCAATGAAAAGATATTTTGTACTATTTCTATGGTAATAACAACTTTCAAAGATAATACTTAAATTTAGGATTTTTTAATTAAAAATGTCCAACACTACCATTAAGACATAATCAAGGGTCTTGATAGCATGGGTAAAAATGTAAAATGGTCTCAAAAATATTTACATGTCAGTTTCTTAAAATCTAAGAAGTCTAATTCTCAGTATTCATTTTGCTTTACTTCAAAATACTTGTTTTCCTAAATCATACCTAGATTCCGTATTCCTGTGCTTTTCACAAAGCTTCAAGTTATCGTTAGTTATGTGTACTATCACACCAGTGGATGAGGTTACTTAAAAATGGCTTATTTTGCTATCACCATATCCTCTCCCAAGTCACCAATATACTGTTACACCCAAGTGCTGGTCTCAGTAATAGTCACCAAAATGCACACAGCCACCACCTGCTCCCCCCCCCCATACCTCCCCCAAGCCCACACCTTAAGAACCCTTTCCTATTTGGCCAAGAGCCCTTCACATTTCATTAGCTGGCATTTTAGATGCAGAGTGAAAGAAAGAATGGATCTGAGAGACAAGATGTTGCCAGGGCACACACGGCAAAGGTTTGATTTGTGCTTAGCAGAAGAGGCTCCTCACAAACACAGCAATTTCTAACACACTCAGCGCTGAGGTTACTGGAAGGAAGCTCTGACTTCTCTGCTCTTCAAAGGCTGGCATGGGCGCCAGTTGTCCACCATATGGCACACGGGCTCATTCTCAGCACTGAAGCAAAGGCCACGGATTTTGCACATCTGTGGAAAAAGGCACAAACATCCTCAAACGCATACTCTTGTTTCGGCAGAACTATTTGAATTATACACCTGGGGGCTGAGCCAGAGGTCCAACTCAAAGTTTTGCCAGCACTAATGGTCTAGAGATGGTGTCACCACCCATGTGCGTCTGCATTTCAGCCACACCATTTCATGCCCCTGACACACGCTCTCCTGTCCACAAAATATCCTAGCAAGAACAACTACAACAACAAAGCACAAAAATCCAGGACGTAGGCACACATTTTTGGAACTCTGTGCACAAAGAGTTGTTTGTCCTTGATCCAGATCTAAATTGAAATCTTTTCCGAATCCTTTGCAAGTTGTACAGTTTTGGCTCTTCGGAAACGTTGATTTTTTTTTTTTTAAATCCAGTTGAAATTAAAAAGAAAAAAAGAAGACCTTACCCTTGGGTCAAATTAAAGCAGCCAAATTGATTCAAGACATCTTGATTTTCAAAGAGGAGCATATTGTAAAGTTTTAGTGCTTGTTCCTGAAGTAAAATTGGTGTTTGCACAGTCTAGTGTAACAAAAGCACCTTTATGACTAAGTGGGCATCTCCAAAACTAGTAAAAAGACTGTGCCTAAATAATAACCCACTCCAAATGTGTCCTTGCACAGACAGCTGGAACTGCTGACAGAAATACATAGGTGGGATACAGGATTTCATACAAGTCAGGCTGCAGGCCGGGCTTTCCCTCATTCAAGGAGGAAGGTCCCCAGCAGTGACCAGCCCAGGAGAAGACTTTACCTTCAGGACCGACTGGAACAAAGTTTGGAGCTCAACCTCTGCCAGGAACTGCTGTGTCACTACAGCAAGTAACGGGCTCGCTACACCCTGCCGTAATATTCAGCTTTTATTCAGCTTTTATCTATCTTTGGAAAACCAATTCAACTTAAACCCAGTGTCAATACTCTGCTTTATGGTTTCTTGTTTTGATCAGTTTTAGAATGAAAAAGGCAAGCTGCCACACACACTGTTTTAATCTCAAACCCATCTTTGAAATGTCAACGGTAACATGGAGGGGAGTGTGTGGGAGAAACAAGTGGTGTCTTTTACCACTTGTAGGTGGTTAAAGTAGGTGTAGTAGGAAAAACAGCTCTATTTTGGTGAATGTGCTCCTGCCCTATAATAAAACCGTATTTGCAACCTTGGTTTATCAATAGCAATACCAGTAGTTTAGAACAAGTAAACAGTGACAACTTTAATACTCCCTTGCACTTTATTAATGGTAATCATTGCTATGATTAGTATTTCCAATAGTTCTTCCTTGTAATTTATTCTACCTTTTATTACGTTGTCCCACAACAGCTCAGTTGCACTTTTTTCACACCAGCGGAATAAAACCCCCAGAATTGTGTGTATATTGTTAGCATGTCTGCCATTGACAGAAGGGATTTAAGAGTTTGAAGGGTAAACTAAAGCCCTTCAGGGCTAGTTTATATTTATAGGCTCTAGATTCTATTTATATCTCCCAAGCACACAGATGCGAACCCGATGATGGAATCTTGCCTGTATGCAATTTCATTAATGGATGGTGCAGAAAAGCTAGGGCCAGGAGTGATTTAATCTGCACGAGCTCCTTCCTACTAGGAAGACTCTATCCTCTTCAAGCTGCTCAACAGAACAGAGGACTTTTTCAGGCAGCAGACTTCTGGAATCTGCAAGTTTTGCCTCTTCCAAACAACGCAGTTTTGTTAGGATTGCCACAATTCTGCGTGGGATTTCCCAGTCTGTTCTGTGCTGAATAGAACTTGTAAAACAAGCTCTGTGCCCTGGAAATGCAGGAAGATCAACAAACCAACTACAGATCTATGGTGTGAGACTGTGGATGCAGAATTCATGCTCTTCAGATGCTTGGTAAACCTGGTATTTTCAGGGCAAGTACAGCCAAACAGGTGATGTGTGCAAACCTGCTGATGCTCACAATACGTGCTAGACTAACTCTGCATGTGCAAATGTTCCTTTCATGCATGCTACAGTCTTCCCAGATTTTTGCCACGTGGCAGCTCTAACCCTGTATCTGGAAAGTCCAATTAAATTTTTAAAAGTCCCCACGTTTTCCCTGGACTGTGTCCAAATGGAGGACAGCCTTACATTTTACAGCAACTCAACTTCCACACATAGAAGCAGAGTCCTTGGTTATCCAGAAGAGGATAACCACTTCAGATGTGTATTTTTGACATGTGATGCTAGCTAATACCCTGCATAGCCCTGCAGTAACATAAATTGCCACTTCAAAGATCACCAAGAGGGCTGAACTGAAGCAATCAACATGGCGCCAGTACATGTCTACTGGCACCATCCATTGGAGACCTACCTGCTCGGGGCTGACAGTGATAGGCTCCTTCAGAACATGCCAGATCACACATTCGAGCAGTGGAGGGGTGGTCAGGGAGCCAGGGTACGTCCAATAATCCCTGCATGCGGGAAGCAGTCCAGTGGGGTCAAAGTTTGTTCTACAATAAAGAAAGTAGATGGGCTAACGTCAGGGAGAGATCACATACACACACTGGGCTTGCAGCAGTAAAGTCTCCTACAGGAATCTCCATGTCTGGAGAAAGGCAGAAATGGAGTTTGGCATGAAATGCCAAGTGCCTCCTACAGTACATTTGGGATTAAAGACTTTCAGCAATGTATTTCTTAAGTTGTAAGACTTTCAAGACATTGTTTCTCATTTCAAATGTTGAATTTATGTTCCTCGCTCCTAGAGATATGATTTGACCTTGCTTGAAGGAACAATGAGATTTCAGATGCCACGTACACTGACTGCACTGGAAATGCAGAACCTGGGAGGCCTGTTGAAGAGTCCATTGCAGTAAATGGCAACATCCATTTACCTCAAAGGGAGCCCGATGACAAAGATGACAGTGTAGTCTTGTTCTTTACCTTTCCTGTCCCCATTTCACATTGGCACAGGCCTTTACTCACTACAAAGGTACCTAATTACTCACTAAGTACTTTTAGTTTCTCATTACTCAGCTCATTAAGATCTCACACATGCTTCACACAATACTTAAGATACAGACAGGTTTTTTTCCCCTAAGAGTTATATATCCTGATCAAACTTCCCTAGCTGGACTCTCTTTAGAAATAGCCAAGAGAAGCATGCCCTCTTGGAGGAAGGAAATGAATCCCACAGATGCAGAGATGAGGCAAAGTGCCTTTTGCATCTGTCACTGCTGACTAGAAAGGGCATCTAGGAGAGTAGTTTAGATTAGGAAGATGAATCCTACCCTATAGGTTTAAAACACAGTAAAAAGACAGAGAAATGTAGTCACAGAGATACAAAATGATCACTGTTTCTGGTATTCCCTGCCCTCTACCACAACTTAATTCGACCCTCTTCTGTATTTAGGATTACAGGAGCATTAATGCTGATGGCAGGAAGGTTTATTTTACTTTCATACATGCAGCAGACTGGGGAAAAAAAAAAAAAATCCACTTTCTGAAGAAGACAACACAGCACAGTTGTGATTGGTGCCAACCAACACAGACAGCAAATATTACCTTGGTTTGAACGGAGTTCAGAGCATCCACAACTTTCTGTATTTCAGGCTTGGCATTTCCTACCTGTAACACAAACCATATGAAAAGAAAATAACCATGGACTCTCACGATACCTTTAGTTTTCTGTTACAGTTCTCAGGGAAACATTTTCCCAGCACCATGTCATTACACAACAGGAGCATTACAGCAAAAGTGACTGGAACTGTCTCTGTAAAATCACGCCAGTTGACAGTCAGCACAAATGGGTCAGCCAAGGACAGTGGGCAGAATAAAGTTATTTTCATTGACAGTGTGTGGATTTATTTTTGGACTTGAGCTGTTCTTTTTTCACAGAAGTTACCCTCCTAATAAAATACAGCGAGACCAGGACAGAGTGCACATTGCTGGGGCACAGTCACCTTCTCCAACCAGCTGTGAAGACAATTCAACTAAGACAAAATGCTTTGGACATTTAACAATGACAGGAAAATAGGTGTTATTTAGGCTGGTCCTACACCCAGATTTATACACATGTAACTCTGTCAGTTGTGCACATCACCTTTCATGGATAAGATTTATGGCTGTGTCACCGCTGTGATGAAGGCAAGTATGTTGTTATAGGGCTGCCACAGTGATGGATGGCAGTCATACTCCATGGCTGGTGGACAATTTTTGTATGTAGAGAAAGCCAAGAATTCAGAGCACCACCTAGTTTGCTATGGGTTTAGGCAGTATAGTGTAATGCTGCTTTATTCGATATATTCTATATTTTAGGCTCTTAGGTTCCCCTGCAACACAATGAACACACTGGCTTCATCCAAATAATACAGAAGTTTAACTAACCTTCATGAAGATGCCTACCACAGCCAAACCATCAGGATGTTTCACAGCTTCAGCAAATTCACCATATTTTACGTTCCAGTGAACAATATGGAGCTAGAACAAGAAAACAAGAAGTACTATGAAGATGATATTCCATCCACAATATCTTACAAATGAGGAGGCAGGGAATTTATTAAACATTAAGAACATATGGTGTTTTACGGTTGAGATTTAAAAACTTTTGTGCACAGTTAAGAATTTGTTGAATCATTCATCTACTTTCATTTATGTAAAAAGATTTCTGTCATGCATTTTATTTTGCTTCTCACTCTTATTCCCAGGTGAGTTTTAAATGCAAATTGTGGCTGTATCGTTCTGCTTTTAGTCCCGTGAAACTCCTGTTATCTTCAGCATTAGTTTTTCCTGCATGCAGTCTGCAGGATTTTGGTGTAGTATTTTAATGCTATATATCCTGGAGTTCTTATCAACACTGAAATATATGGCTGTCAGTGTCAGAAGAAGCAGACAAGACACAGCAACTACAGATCTGACCTGCAATCTAGACAGTTTTTAAAAAACAGTCCTCTCCTTTTCTGGAAAGCCTTTGAGAGACAGTTTTTAAAAAACAGTCCTCTCCTTCTCAAAGGCTTTCCAGAAAAGAATCTGAAATGAATCTCCAAGGTCACGTTAGCCAGGATGTTGCTTTCTTTTTCATTTCCAAGTTATTTCTAATTTAAGTTCATCTGGCTGTTTCCCCACATCTGCAAGTCAAGTTGAGCAAGTAATTGTGGTACTGTGAATAGATGTAAGGCGAGGCAAGTTTCTCAGATAAGACAAAAGCTACTTGTGTCTCATGAAAAAGCAGCACAGCCAATGAATTTGTAAGGCCATTTCTCTTACCTGTCAATGCAAACTGCAGGTATGTTCAGTCAATGTGTATTTATGAAAGGGTTAAAAAAGCCTGTCACAGCATCCAGAGGTAGATTTCTAAACAGGGGACACGGAAAGGTGGGATGCAAGGCACTACAGTCACTCAATTTCTGTAGTGACACTGTAATAGAGTCTTCAGTGGTCCAAGGGACATCTGGAGTCTTCAGGATATTACAAAGAGTGCCTGCAAGGTCTCACTTCGCTACCTGCCCGCTTCACAGCTCCCCTTGCTTCTTTGCTACCAGAAGATGAAAGGGTCTAAAATTATTCTGTTGTTTATATAAATGTCTCTGACGTTAAAAACTGAAGCCAGGAAAAGGGGACGTGTGCGTACAGAGGTGCTGCAATTCTATTTCTTCATAATTTTCAAGAGTCACTGAGAAAGCATGGGAAAACCAGGGATAATGAATGTGGGTTTTTCTGCTTCTGTAGTCTCTTTGACATGAAGTATCTGAGAAAAAAAATATTACAACAGTCCTGCAATTCTAATCTCTGCTGCTGTAAGGAGTAGGTCCTAGGGTGGCATTGTACCAAAATCTTCTATGGTAACCTTTCAATCTCTTGCCCTATGAACATCTGCAGAGAAAATGCTACTGTGGTAGAATGTTAAAACAAACCAACCAACCTCATTATACACAAAAGACTGGAGAAGGTAAAGCATGTCCTACCTCTGCATCGTACTTCACACCATCCACAGTGTGCTCAGACCCTTGGCCCTCACAGGATCCCCAGTGAATATGAAAATGGGCCAGCCTGTAGACTCCATCCAGCGCTCCTCCTTGCAGCACTGCAAAGCAAAGAGCCTCTGTTAGCATCTCCCATAACCTTTGTTATCGAGTCTCACTTGAAACTGGAACGTCCATCTCAAGTCTTCCAAGTGAATTGCAGTTCATTGCTCTGCATGCTGCCATGCTTCTCCAGACCATCTTCAATGGTACATTGCTGCAATACGCCAAAATCAATAACAAACGTATGAAAACGTGACTTTACAGTGAGTGTCTCATCAGCAATTTAACAGGCATGCTAATATTACAGGTGACGAGGGGAGAGTTAAGGATGTAACTTTTCTGTCACCAAATAAACATAAAAGGGCCAAGAAAAAGAAGAGCCTTTGTAAGAGGCCCACGTGGAGTTATTCTATGGAAGTACGCTTGAAGACCAAATCATCTTTCACTTACTAATATACTCTGTCCCTTCATTTTAGGCACTTTATCCATTTAGGCCTTAATCCTGCAAATCCTGTGGCAGATTGGATTGAGTAAAATGCTTTTGGTTCCAAATTAAACCTAAACACCTGTTAGCCATGGGGTGCAGCAAGGTAAAGCGCAAGGCACGGTGCAAAGCATTGCAGAGATGTGAATTCAAATCTCTTGTCCCTTTTACCCTTTACTTTTCAAGAACGAGTTTAAAAAATGGTGGTGAAAATGGCAATGCTTGCAGAGGCAGATTTTTTTTTTAAAATTTGGATTGGCAATGAGCCGTTCAGTTGTGCTCTGCACTGACATCACCCCTGTCCCTATGGGACTGCTGTATGCGGAGTGCCCAGCCACAATTTCAATTATACAGGAGCAAGTTCCTCTGAGCTCCCTTACTCTGCTCGTTAGTTCTAACCTTGTACTTAAACTGTGACCAATCACCATTATGATATGCAGGATCAAGCCCTATTACTGCAAAACGCTCAAGGGACAGACAATGTCTACTCCAGTGCAGCATAAAGCACAGAACAATAACAAATAGTTCTATTAAATAGAGCTATTTATCTAAGTTATTATAGCAAGGTTTCACACTGGTTTGTGGTTTGGTTTCTTTTTTTTTCCACTAAGCATCTCAAATTCATAATTACATCTTTAAGATGCTAATATTTAAAAATATTTTAAAATGTAATTTGAAGTCATGTATCTTAGAGATCAATTTCTCTCTCTCTATATATATACACAAATACATATATACAATAAAGTGACAGAAGAGTGTTGACATCTGATATTACATGTAAGTGTGCTCTGTGTATGTGCCACAAACAAAACGGTTCTGTGATTTCTCTCTCTCTATATATATACACAAATACATATATACAATAAAGTGACAGAAGAGTGTTGACATCAGATATTACATGTAAGTGTGCCTGTGTATGTGCCACAAACAAAATGGTTCTGTGGAGTAAAGATGCTTTCCTCTCAGTCTACACTTAATATAGACCCTATCACAATATGTGCATGTGTGAAAATCTACATTAAATGCAGATAGGAAAAGGTCACTGTCTGTTCAGGTTTGAATAATTTTGATTATATGCAAGCATGGACAACAACAGCCGTGGATCTTTGGCAATGAGGTGAGAAGGATTTGACTAAAAAAACTGGACTACATGACAATTAAATATAAGAGATATATAAAACACATTAGTTTCCACTGGTGTGCCTTACACATGCAAAATTTGGGTTCAGTGGACAAATTTAGCATTTGCCTAGGGTGCCTTTGGTAAATACATTTAGAAGTCTCCCAACGTGTACTCCTATCTGAAAAGTGTGAATATATGTTCCACTGCAGTCTTTGTGATTTTCGATACCGTAGCCAACGCTGAACAGCCAACAGACCAAGACTTGCGCTACCTATTGCCAGGCTATGCAATACAAAGAATGGCTACTTACAGTAATTAAATAGGAACATATCTTATTCTACTTTCATGTTTCCGCATGTGCTAGTTGCCAAGAAGCATAACTGTTTCAAGCACGGGAGTACAAATCGGAATGCTTTTTTTCAGAACAGTGACTGTGAATGTGCGTTGGTTCCTTTCGGAAACGAAGTAATTGGTTGCTATGTCTTTACAGATGCAAAAATCATTTAATCCACACAATATCATGTTTCATTTAAAAATGATGCCATGGAGTTGCAATGCTTCAGTCTCAGTTCCTTTGGTTAATGGACTTGCTGCTCGTTGCAGGTACAAATGGACTGAGGTTCCACCATTCCTCAACCTCAGAAAGCTCTAGCACAGCACAGGTTAATCTGCCATCATTAATCAATGGAAAGCATGCTGAAAAGCAGAACCATGCAACCTTCTTAAATCCATTTGCAGTGTTATTAGTCTATACAAAGTTTGCTATTGTCTTATAAAACTCAAAAGATGCACAAAAATCTCTTTGCAGTTTTTGCTTACTTTTCTCATTCTGTGGTTCTCAAATCCAGCACTAGCTTATTTTGACTCACAGCAGAGCATTCAAAGAAAGTAATAATTAGATTAGTGTGAATGAATACAAATTCAGCAGGCTTAATTACAGAACAGCGCTTCTTGTTCTAGCCTATATTAAGCAGTTTCTGTTTTTTAATACTTCTCAGCCTTTCCAAAAAAGTAAAATTTAAACTTAAAAGGCAAAGTAGAAATACAGAGCTTCACTTTTTCCAGCATAAGCTTTTTAAACTGTGAATAAATGTTACCAGCTTTTGCAAAGTAAAAGTTCATTGAGAATCAGAGCAACATTCACATCGGGAACTTCCCTGTCCTTGTCCCATGTGATGTGAACATTGATTCAGGCCACATTGATGACAGAAGTCCAACCTTTCCATCTCCTTTTTTTGAGGGATGGGGAAATTCTGATCCATATCTGAGCATCTCATCATGAGCTCCCTTCCTTCTGAAATGAGTATTAGTGAAAACCACTCTGGAAATACATCCATAGCTGTGCTCCCTTTTGTTGTATAGCACAGCTTCAGATGCAGGCTGAAGATAGCACAAGCCAACCTGGAAAACACATTCTTTTCTTACAGATTCAACCTACTCAACACAATCTACGTCATAACCTGGTCTCCATAGACGTGTAACAGCCCAAGCAGTGACAGCTTGAAAATACAACTTTTTTCTTCCTATTTGACAGTTAGTTGAAATGCTACAGTGAGCAAATTTGGAGCTACCTTGCTTAGATTAAGAAATGGTAACTGTTTTCAACCTTCTACTCTTTCCTGGAGAAGTTATACTAGTTACATCCAGTAATTATATTGCCCTGTTATTAAATGATCTCATAACATTTTCTAAATTAGGTGAACATAAGTATTAGCAGCACTAATTTGGAAACTCATACAACCACAGAACTGTTCCATTTACATCTGTGTGATTTCTTGGATAAAGAAGGTGAACTCAATTTGTCTCCGTTACACTTTCTTAGGATATCTGGAACCACACAGAAATCAAAAGGCGTTTTGCTGCATCTGGGACAGCCGTTTACTGAGACCACACAACTTCACTGTTCTATTTAAAGGCAAGTCACTGGGTAGTTACCTTTCCCATGCAGAACAGAACAGCTTTGTAAAAAATACTGTGGACCACTTCATACCTTTTTTTAGGAAGTGGCAGCATCCACATCTGTGAATTTTTGC